GTCTCGGCTTTAGGCTTGCAGGCCAGGCCAGCCGCTGAGCCGCTACGAGCCGTGCTTATTTATGGGCCTCGTAGCCCGAGTGTGCCATTTCCCTGCTCCCGTCTCCTCTCCCCGCTCCTCTGCTGCCTGCCCAGTCTCTGCGGGAGGTGGTCTGCGGTCCTGGGGCTCTGCCTTGCGGGGCGGGGGGACCTGTCCTCACAGCCCCATCCCCACCGTCCTGCTGCCCTCAAGGGCACCAGCGCTCCCAGCACAGGGCAGGATTCATCCCGCTAAATTTAGATGCCTGCCGGGTCAGCGGCTATATCGGGGTGAGAGGGATTAGAGCCAGCAGAGACAAACCCGCCGTTTCTGAGCATCCACCCCAGGGGCAGCTGTGGCCCACAGGCATGGAGGGGTTTGGGCAAGCAGTGGCTGGGGTGCTGTGGGATGGCTCAGCCCTCGCCCCGGTGGCTCAGGGCCATCAGGCAAAGTTGGTCTCCCCTATCCAGGCATCTACTTTCTGCCTGCAGCGTGTCCAGCTCAGCCCCGGCTCCCTCCGGCCCTGCCGGCATCCAAACGCTTTCGGTTTCAGGGTGGGGACGTGGTTTCTCGCCTCCTACAGCTCCAGTTACACAGAACTGTTCTCAGTCGACAACTGGGATGGGGACAGGGATGGGGACCCTGCGCAGCCCAGCCAGGACCCCCCCAGGGTTGGCACAGCCTGTCGGGGTGCTGAGTGGCCCAAGCGCGGCTCCAGCTCGGAGGGGAGATGCCCCGGGGCTGGGGAACGGCTGGTAGGAAGCCGGGTTTGCTCCACGGTGCTTCTTGAGTATCCTTTCTCCCTGCGGTGGGGGAGGATGTGGTGGTGGCAAGGGAGGTTAGCCGGGCACACGGGGTTGGCTCGGATGGGGGATGCTGAGGAGTGCTTTGCTGGCCCTAAAACTCACTTTCAGTGGGAATTTAGTGGTGCTGGGGCAAGCGATCCTAAAACCAGAAGGTTGAAGCTGAGCTCCTGAACAGGTACTCTGCTTTCCAGAGGTGCTGAGCACTTAAGGATCCCCAAGGCGCTGGCGGGAGCTAAGGGGATGCAGGACCTTTGAGTCTCACTGCTTTGGTTGCTGTCCCCACATGTCTAAACCAGGCAGGGGTTTCCCCTCTCTCCCTGCCTCGGTTTCCCCAACTGGGAACCAGGGCCAACACCTCCACGCATTGGGTGAAGTCTCTTGCATCTCTCTAGGAGGATTTGCTGATGGAGGCAAAGCACGTCCTCCCCTCCCACCCAAACTCCGTGTGAGTTCTGGTGTTAGGATCC